ATCCTGCTATGTATTTGCACATGTAGTGGGACCGCTCCATTTTAGCCACTCAGTCTTTATTTAAATGAATCTTGCTAAGATTCAGCCAGGCTGATTGCTAGATTACCTGGGAGGAGCTGGGTATGCAGTTCTGTGTGCCTCTTCTTATTCAACAGGCCCTGGTATGTCCTGGAAGACTGGATTTAGATACAGTGAGTAAGAGACAAGCTGAGGGCAACACACACACACACACACACACACACACACCCCACACACACATATATTATATATATATATATATAGAGACACACACACACACACACTTGTTGTCATTGTTGTTTATATATATATATATATATATAGGGCTTATGGAAAAAAGATGCTCATGGGTGCTTCTTGGCTCCCTCGTAGGCCCTTTCCTCATCCACAAAGTTCTCCGATCCTCTTCTAAGAGCATTCTTAAATCCTCTGCCTCTTCTGCTCTGGAACCTGCTATCAAGACAGGGTAGGAAATGGATGAGAGATGAGCAAAACTCAAGACAGGAAAACTACTTCCCCAGTTGGGAAGTAGTTGCAGTATCCTTGAGATGATCCCGCAAGTGAGAGAAGACGATGTCCTCTATTAGGAAAGCAGCGGGGTGCTAGAGAACTGCATGCATTCTTCGCTAAGCCCTTACTAGCTGGTTTAGCTAGGGTAAATTACTTAATCTCTCTAGCCTTCAAAGTTCTCATCAGTGAAAAGGAAACAATCGTAATCTCTTTTTTACAGAGTTTTAAAAAATGCTTTTTTTAATGCTATAAAAAAAAGGGGTCAATAGTTTATATGGGTCAATGTTGTTGTTTTTTTGCCTTTCGAAAAAAAATGTACAAAAGTGCCCATCTTCTCTGGGCATCATTTGCCATTAAGTGAAGCTGCACTTTCATCCACAAGGGCTCTATCATTTGAAGTTCTCTTGTCCATCAAAGCCCTCCCACCAGTCCTGTTTTGTGCCTAGCACTGAACTTCTCTCTGTGACAACACAAGCAGTGAGAAATTCTTTTGGTTTGGGGATGGGCTGGCTTTAATATTATAGCTTGAAACCCCAGCTTAAAAGTAATACACTCCAGTTTCTGTCCCCTCCCTTCTTCGGTAACAAACACTTAAATGCTGATGGGTTCTCAGGTCAAGAATCCACAAAGCCCGCATGTGTTGAGACAAGCCAATAGGAAGTCTGACTCATTTTCATATTTACAAAACTTATGTGGCAAATCAGTGAATGATAGAGTTGGAAAGGCCTTAAAGATCATCTGGTCCAACTCTTCATTTTTTAAATGGGGAAATGGAGTAACTAGGAAAGAAAGGATCTTGGCCAAGATCACAGAGTAAGTTAGAGACAGAGCCAGCCTGCTTCCCCCTCACATGGTGTAGGGGAATCTTTTTATTGGAAATGTGATAAAATGTACTGTTTGTGCTCTTTCTGTTATGTTGGTCCCATAATGAAAGATACTGCTTGACCCATATCACTGCAGCCTAGAGCAGAAGGATCATAGGTGGAGAGTATTAATCTAACTGCATTTTCATTCATTTATCACACATTACTAAAAACCACCTTTATGTCAGTTACTGAAGATACTGAGATAAAAGACATGGGTCCCAAAAAAAAGGTCTTCAAAATTTAATGATGAAGACAAACTCCAAGGTGGGGGGGAGGTGGCGCTGAATATTTTCCATGCAGTTAAGTGAAATATTTATCCCATCTGCCAACTGCATTTTATATTTATACTTGTGAATGCATTGACTCTCCTTCATATATAGATTATGAGACATTTTCTCAGGAAAAAAAACATACCAAATATCTCAGACCCTTTATTTATTCATGTCCTCAAGAAATTTTATTTGAGCACCTAATAGGAGTTACCAAGAGGCAAAAATAAATAAATAATAGTCCTCTCTCTCAAGAAACTGTAATAACAATCCAGTAGAGAAATACATAATGATCATGGAAGCTTTTATAAGGAAAAGGAGATACCTAAGAGAATGGGTGCCTAAGTTTGCCATGGAGAGTCCACAGAGGTTTCATGGAGGAGGTGGTGTATAAATCGAGACTACTTAAAGAAGGGGAAGAAGTCTGCTGAGCAGAAAACAGGGGAAAGTCATTCTAGGAGAAGAGAACAGCATATGCAGAGCCATGGAAGTGTGGAAGCATGCAATCCTGAAACCTATGATAGTTCATAATCACTGACACGTGAGAAAAGACAGATTGGCAGAAAATGAGGATATAAGTAGGCAGGACCTGAGCCACGCTAAGGAGATGAGGTTGCATCATGGAGACTAAGGAGAAGTACAGAGGGTTTTCGAGAGTAGATCAATGAGGTTTGTATTCTGGAAATACACTCAGGCAGCTTGCAGAGGCAGGGTGGCTGCAGTCAGGTAGCCCAGTGGGGAGGCCAATCTTTAATCCAGGCAAGACCTGATGAGGCCTATGAGGGCAGAGGCAATGCCATTCTGAGCCAGGCCAGAACCTGACTTTCTGTATGATTCAACCATTGCCAGACACACCTGACTGATGGTGCAGACCCATACAAGAAGCATGAAGTTATGCACTTGAGTCTCCAAACTGTGATTCACGGTTCTGACATTATTTCCTGTGTGTGTAATAGACCAACCTCTCCCAAGTCAACTGGAACAGTGTAAGACATCACAAGTGACCCATGGAGAAGCCAAGCCTCCTTGCCTGACAAAGAAGCTGATACGTCATTGAACTTATAAAGGCACTTGGGGGAGGTGGTTTTTAATACGAAAGTCACTTCTGAGCTTGTGGTTTGGTAAATTTAAGTCTTTTCCAAACGAGGCAGCCAGGATGGCAAAATGATCGTTTTTCATCCCTTCTAAGCACTGATTCAGTTATCTGAAACCTTCCTGTTTTGCTCTTCCTGTTCCTTCTCCTGAAATGCCTTTCATCCACCAGCCTGTCTATGTTTGGACATTGGAGTCTTATAGATCCAGGTTCAAATTCTAGCTCTGCCATGCATTAATTATATGCTCTTATACAAGTTACCATAAGTGTTCTGAGCCTCAGGGAGCTCCCCTAATCCTGATTACTCAGTGATTGCTGAGCAGGAGATGAAGTTTGTGAGGTGTTCCATTAAGTGCCTTCTCCCTCGCCAGCACTCAATATTAAGTAGCTATTTTTCTTAGGTGAGATTCTAGTTTAAGAATGAAGGTTTGTAATTCTCTACCAAAAAAACCACAGTGAAGTACTGAAAGTTTTCGCAAGACATCTTTTGATTTTCGGGAAAAAAATGAATTAGAGTTTTCTTACCCACATTAATTAAACCTGACACCTGAGTACCCACTTGATTTCCACACCCAGCTATGGAATTCCACAGTAACTTATAATTAAGAGACAGTTGCTAATAAGAGACGTGGAACTTGAAATTCAGAGAAATAATTAGAGAAACACCGTGACAAAGGGCAGAGTTGCTGATACTGGGCCCTTTCCTCATGCTGAAGAGTTTGGAGGGTAAACGGCCATCTTAATGGTATCATCTGACTGCATTTTGTGCTGCTGAGATCGTGCTGACTGGAAATTTCCCTGGAAGTAGCAAGGGTGGTTTAGTTTCATTGCAGTGAAAGAATTGGCCAATGTTGGGGCAAGTTACTGACAATGGGTGTGGAATCTGTTTTAGGAGAAGGTAAAAAATAATAACAATAAAGTATGCGATGAGATTACCCCTTCCGGGCTATTGCAAGTGTAGACGTGCCTGCAGCCTGAAAGAGAGTTTGTTTCAAGCACAGTGAAGGACTGGGTTCACTTGGGTGATTCTTCAACCCTAACTCAGTCTCTTCTAACTGGATTTGAAAGATCTTCTGGCACTTTCCTGTTTCTGGAAATTTTCCAATTTTCAAGTTTAACTTGACTTTTTAAATCAACCTGGAGTTAATTTATGTTTTAATTCTTATTATTATTAGCAATAGTTTTATTGTTTATTATTTATTATAAAGCAACATTAAAGATAAAATTTTAAAATTATCTTTAATTTTCCTGAACAGTTACATTAATTTTGGAATTTTTGGCCTTTGTTTACCTACTTATTTCTTAATTAGCCATCACAATGAATCTGAAAGAGCTTTATTATTATGTCTGCTTATAAAGTTTAAGATAATGCAGTTGATTAATGTTGCTCTAAGTAACACATATAGTCAGTGGCCAAATCAGGAAGAAAAATCAGGAATTATCTCAAGCCTGCTCTGTCTCCCTACTCCCTGCTGTGATGTTGGCCACACAACCTGGTGCTTAATGGATATAGGTAACATTATCTTATGCACTATTACTTTAACTCAAAATCAGAAATAATAGCAGTCTGGAATAATATCAACAAAAACTCCCCAACCAATCCCTAGAAGAAAATCATCAAGATTTTGTCAACTCTGAAGACAATATTGTAGGAAGTATCTAATTATGAGAGGAGAAACAGAGAATTAATGTGACTAATAGAAATGAGCTGTTTTTATTGGGGGAAAAAAGCTCCAACTTGAACTAGACCAACTGAGACTCCTTAATATTGCTGATCAGATATTCCAAGCCACTTATTGATCATTTAGTTATAAAGTCTTCTCATTGTTCTTGTCAGTAATCCCATTGAGTATCCCATTAAACTAAATGTAGGGTTAAACACCTGGAAAACAAGGGTTCATAAAGTGTAATTTGTAGAAGGAAAAGAAAAACAACTTCCATATGCTTACTATGAATAGCATAAATAGGGATGGTTGCCTTCCATTTAGGAGTCAACACTATATGAAAGATGACACAATGAGGTGAAGAGTGAACCCTACAGCCCTTGGAACTGTCAGAAGAGTCTATTTCACTCGTATATTTTCTAGAATACCAAGTAGAAGGAGGCAGACTTGGGGAGATATGGATCAGCCACACTGGAGGGAGTTCCAACCATGGGACTGCTCAGAACTCTAGCTTGGCTCCTAACCAAGTTTGAAATGATCACAGCCACAGCGCTAATTGAATTAATTTGCTTTTCTTCAGGCAGGATGGGGAAGCAGAATAGCAAACTGGCCCCCGAAGTGATGGAGGACCTGGTGAAAAGCACAGAATTTAATGAGCATGAACTCAAGCAGTGGTACAAAGGATTTCTCAAGGACTGTCCAAGCGGGAGGCTGAATCTTGAGGAATTTCAGCAGCTCTATGTGAAGGTAAGTTGTTTTTCAACCTTATTTTTATTCCTTAGGCCAGAACTATGGCCTTCATGAAATGTACCCTCACATGGAATTATAACTCCAAGTAGCCAGTTTGTTTCAACTGGCTGTTTTCCATTCAGAAAGAAAAATTCACATTTAAAAATGCAAATGTATATATGTTGTTCCCAAAATAAGCAATTTCTGAACAAAAAGAGTAATTGTTAAATCAAAGCGCTGAATAGAGCTCAAGGAATGACAGCATCTGGTGAAAGAACCATAAAAAGCTCAGAGAACAGTGTTTACTGATAATTATTGACAGTTTGCTAATTACAACATTGTTTGTCCTGTTAAAGGTAGGTGTACTTCTCCCAGTTAAAGAAAAAGTACACAAGATGGCTTTTTTTCTCTCTTTTTTTACCAAAAAAGATGCTCCTGCATCCAGATAAGAACCCAGATTCCCACAACAGCACATTTAGAAAGGGGGAGGTGGGGTGTAGCATACCTCTGGGCAGCAATGTCTACAACATGGACTCATAACTCAACACCGTACACTGCTCAGAAACTAACCTTTCCCTGAACATTACACAGAACAGTCCCATAAATGGTACAATTTCTACTGCAGTAGTATTGTTTTGGCTTGTCTGAGTCTACAAGTTGTATTGGTTCTAGACTGGGCTGATCTAAGACATTCCATTTCATGTATACTTATGTAATGTTACACAAGTAAAAGAAATACATTTTTAAAACTTTTTCTGATTAAAACACCAAAGAGAAAAATATTGCTTTATATCATTTAATTAGCAAATGTTGATTTGAGCAATATTGAATTACCCAGATGTATAAATGTGTATGTGAAATGATTATATAAAATATTAAGCATTATCGTTACCTCCTGAAACCGAACATTTCCCATAACCTATGATCCAGCAATTCCATTCTTGTACTGTACAAGAAGGGACATGTGTAAGAATGCTCATAGCTGTACTATTAACAATGTCAAAACTGGGAAACAACCCAAGTGCCCATCAAAGGGAAAGTGGAAAATAAACAGTGGTATATTTGAACAATATAACATTATACAGCAGTCAAAATAGTTGAACTGCAGCAACACTAAGACATTAAAAAAGCAAGTCTCAAAAGATTCTAAAGTAAATACAAATTTTTAAAAATACACTTTACAGGATTACCAATAAATGCAGTAAAATCATATAAAAAGGAAAGCAGGGAAGTGATGAACACAAGATTGAAATGAATAGTTACTTCAAGTGGGGAAAACCAAGGGATGGGATGGGGGTATGGCCATGTGGTTAGATATGTATTGTGTTCAAAGTTATAGCTGTTGCAATTGTTTATTGCATCATTAAAAGCTCACTAATCAACAGAATAAATAGTGTGCATTTTTTATGATCACTGTGACATTTCTAAGAAGATCTGGGTAATCAATTATTAGCATGCCAAGATCCTTTCTATTGAAGTGCTGAGAAGGTGCATCTATTACTCAATTGATGTCCATTGCTTTTGCAGAGAAACAGGATAGTATGTATTTCCTAGATAGCCATACTACTCTCCCTAGTTTTCAATGTCACATCTTCTATTTTATTACCTAGGGGCTAGTCCATGCCTTGGAACTGTCTCTATTCTCAACCCCAAGGAAAGTACAGACAAACAAGATTTGTCAAAGTCACTTTCATATCACTAAAAGCCATGCAAGCTGTCACCCGACGATTAAGAGAGCTCTGTGTGCCACATTCCTCACTATTTGTTTAAAATGAGAGAGGTATTGCCTTTGAAGAAATAGTTGAAATGCAGGAAATGAAGTATTTTATTTACACACTGGAAGTATGTAGCACTGAAAAAGCACCAGCCTCAAGGTGAGGGGTCATGTAAACATTAAGCATGCCTCAGCGTTTTATGGTACAATTGATGTATATGCACCAAAATTATCTCCCACCTCCCCATCTCACTCTTAGAGTGGGTTTTTTATTCCAGGAGGGGAATATATGACTTTCTGAACTTAGGTCTATGTTTTTGGCAACCTCTTATTCCAGCTCAGCCTATACGCTTATATCAAATAGAAAGCAGGCAGTCTTTTTCTCCTTCTAGAGTTGTCCAAGGACAGAAAAAAGCCACAGCAGAAATATGCCACGTACACAGAAAAAAGAAAGGCAGATCTGATAAGCTGGAAAGGAGAAGCATGGAAAAAGATGTGGATTATGTAATAGGCCCAGAAGATGGGCTGATGAGAAAAAGCTTATTTCAATGCTTCTGGAAAAACATGCAAATATTCAGCAAGACACAGTCATTATCCTGGTGAATGGGCACATTCAGTGATTCCTTCTATCTTTGGTGCAGAGATTGAGACATCCTGGGATGCAACTGAGGGAGCAAAACTGACTGCAGCCTCTGCCCTCCTGTGTGTGCAGTCAGTCTGGCACATCCCCTCTTGCTACTTGACCCATTTCCCTTTCCAGGGGGAAGTCACCTCGGTTGCTAAAGAACAAGTTCTGATAAGTGTTTAAGGAGAGGCAGGATAACGGGAGTGGCTCCGCCGCAAGGCCAGGGGCCACAGTCTCCCAACTTTAGAAGCCCTTGCATCCCAAATGTGAAGGAACTCCTTCAGCAGATATATGTTTAAAAGCATTTAAAACTGAGGTTTAGAAAAATGAGGCAATTTGCCCAGCATCACAAACTGAATGTGGAACAGACTTCAAAAACAGGAATGCTGACTCCCACTGCAGCACACAGCTCTGCCTCTCCGCCAAACTCCCAGGGCAGCTCCTCATTAACCCCCTCCAGCCCATCCACCATACAGCTGCTGGAGTGAGATTTGTAAAACACAGATCTGAACATGGTCCCTCCCAGCTAGATGCAGGCTTCACTCTTTAGTCATGCAGACACAGTCACCTCATTTCAATCAATGTAAGACCCAGCGGCTAGCACAGAGCCTGCCACAGAGCAAGTATGGGTAAGCATTTCTTGCCTGAATGTAATAAGTGCTGGCTGTGCATCTCCTTCTCAGGCAGCCTGGTGATGGAGGCATATAAAAGTGACTATGGGACAGTCCTCCCTGCCCTCCTGAATTTCACAGGCAAGTTGGAAAGATGTGATTCACCACAATGTAAGCTGTAATGACAGAAATGTTTGGTGGTAGGGCAAGAGTAGAAAGCAGAGAGGTTGATTTCAAAATGGAATATTAAAACAAGAAGTTAATTAATGCAGTGATGAGAGGAAAACTTTTCTATTAGCCTTTTAGAAACCAAAATGTCCCCTAGCAGATAGCTCTTTCCTTTTTCAAGCTTGCTGCCTGTTATCAACTGAATTATATTCCCCCAAATTCATATGTTGAAGTCTTAACCCCCAATACCTCAGAATGGGACTGTATTTGCAGACAGATCCTTTACAGTGATAATAAAGTTAAATGAGGTCATGAGAGTGGGCCCTAATCCAGTGTGACGTGTCATTAGAAGAGGAAGTTTGGACACAGAGACATACACAGGGAAGGCCACGGGAAGACATAGGGAGAAGATGGCCATCATCTGCCAGCCAGAGAGAGAAGCTGCATTTGTTGGTAATCCTATGAAGTGTATTTTTTAAAATTTGTATTTACTTTAGAATCTTTTGAGACTTACTTTTTTAATGTCTTAGTGTTGCTACAGTTCACCTATTTTGACCGCTGTATAATGTTATATTGTTCAAATATACCACTGTTTATTTTCCACTTTCCCTTTGATGGGCACTTGGGTTGTCAACACATTCTCTTGGACTTCCAGTTCCCAGAACTGTGAGAGAATAAATATCTTGATTTAAGCTCCTCCCCAGTCTGTGGTGCTTTGTTATAGCAGCCTGAGCAAATGAATATAATTCTTATTCCTTCTCTGTTGTCACATGCGTTCTCTGCACCCTCTACATCTGATAGAAAGATGCCTTCTGCCCCGGATGTCTGGAACTCCCTGCACACATAGGGATTTCTCTGTCTCTGGCCACAGAAGTTATAGCAGATGTTTCATCATCCCCACCACAGCACTGCTGCTGATAGGTTGGGAAGAAAGCATTTGCATTTGGTCACCAAGAACCAAGTACCTGATCACCTCCCATGGGAATTTCCTATTTTCAACAATCATTTTGATTATCAATCCATCACAAATTAAGATGAGCAGTTTGCAATTTTAACTGTATTTTCACAGAATTGGCCACAGTTTAATGAGAAAATCAACCCAGGGGAAGAGCAAGCAAGTGTGTAGGGAAGAAGTGTCTCCATTCCTGGGTCCTCTTCCTTGGAGAACTGGTGCCTTTGCTATTTTGCTTAGCCACTATGACATCAAAACTAAAGATACCAAGAAACAAACCTAGAGGAATCCTGCAAAGAGCCCTAAGTGGATTTTAATTTATGTTTGGAGTTTGACTTTCAAGATTATTTTCATCAGGAAACATTTGGGTTTGGTTTAGGTTCAGTTGAAAAGGCAGTCACAGAGTTGTTTAAAAAAAATGGGATTTGGAATCTGACAGATGTGAGAGTCATTCCTGGCTGTGTTACATTTACCAAATCTCTGCTGGTTTGAATTTGTTTCGCTGTCTATAAGGTGGAAATAATAAGGCCTGTTTTATCACCTCATACAGCGGAGTCCCAAAGGAAAGAAGGAAAATGAAAACTATTTATGGCCTATCAAAAGTTGTGTTTGCTGTCCTGATTGACGATCCTCTCATTTACACTTAGAGAGCCAGGATGAAAATAGGTTTCATTTCAGAGGCCACATATGATGGCAGCACCAAATGGTGCACGGAAGAGGGTGAGAGGCTCTATGAAATTTCAATAGGAAAATGTGCCATAGTCAAATTGTGATGTCTACCGTGTATTCTGGTGGGTTTGGGGGATTCTTAGACACTGAACTCTGTGTCCCTTAAGCACAAACCCTTCCCCAGCCCCCTGCTGCCAGATAGGATGAAGATGGCATTTAAGGCCTTCTTTACCTATTTCCTACCAATCTCTCTGTGTCCTGATCCTCATGCCCCTCCTC